GGTCCAGTCGATCCAAAAACGGTTTCAGGGCAGTCGCGATTGCCGCGGACACGGAGGCGACAGGCATAGTAGTAGACGCGGAGGCAACAGGCATAGTAAGTTCGCGGGTCTCCCTGTCCTCGACAGTTTGTCGGGCAGCCTCGGCGGGGGTCTCAGAGGACTCCACTTGGGGTCCGACCTCGGATTGCATCAACCTGGCAAGCAGCTCCGCTTTCTTGCCGGCGGGACTAAGGCCCCGTTCCACGAGGTTGAGGCGTAGGTCCCGCACGGTGAGTGTACTGAACGCATGGGAGGCCATAGTCTCGAATGGAAAACGTTGGAACAAGAAACCGAAAATCTGGAAAATTTGGCAAAGAGCTAGTGTTGGAGCAAACAGCAAGTGAGAGTGGTAAGCAACAACAGGAACAAAGAACACGAGTGCATGCACATATGGGATCAGATGCGCTGGTAGGTTCAGCTGCTGACAGAGCTAGAGGGGGAACACGCTCCCGCGTGGCGCAAACCGTGCCCGTGTCACGTGCACAGCGGTGTGCGTGGGCAGCTCAACGATAGCGCTACGGGTAGATGTGGAATGCAGTGTGAAGTAGCGGCATCGCTACGGGTATATATGGAGTGCTACGTGCAGTAAACGCAGGCGGGCACGCGCTGAGAGAGCGTTACGTGCGTATTAACTACAGTTAATACTACGTATAAACTGAGATTTCGAAGCAGCAAAGCAGCACACCACCCAACTTGGGTGGGTCATAAATATTAAAGATAAGTAAAGAAAGGGAAGCTTTGCGAAAACGAATTGTACAAGCCGAAAGCCAAACTCCTACAGTAATCCTCATGCATGACATTGTGATGGACTAGTCGACCACAAAACAAGTTGTTTCACACGACGTACGTTTCGCCGTATGGTTCGTGACGGCTCATCAGGTGTGCAATTTGAAGCTCTGAGGTTGAGCCATAAATAAGTGTAGAAGAGAAAAGGACATAATACGAGTTACGAGTTGATACGAGTTGACAGTTGACAGAGTTGATCGGTTAGCTGTCGGTTAGCGCTACGGAGATGTGTTGAAGCTAGGTGTCAGGACGTCGAATGTCTCAGTACTCTGTCAGTTGTGTGCCTAGTTATTGCACTTTCTGACTGTATATAGTATTATGTTACAGTGATGGAGAGTTACTCTTAACTCATATCCGTATGTCCTTTTCTCTTCTACATTTATTTATGGCTCAACATCCGAGTTTCAAACTATCATTGTGATGAAAATTTCTGATGATTTTTTATTTTACACGGATGGTGAGCCAATTAAATCATGGTGAAAAAAGGAGAACAAAATGTTACGAGTTATGACTAACTGTCCACCAACGTAACCAGATCTTGTACAGTCAGCGAGTGTGACAAAATGGCACAAAACTGACAAGGAGTACGGAGACATTCGGCGACCTGACACCTAGCTCCAACACTTCTCCAAGGCGCAAACCAACAACCTTCCAACTTGGAAGGCTCAGGTTCGGAAAGGTCCAAGAGGGGAAGGAAAGCGCAACGAAAAAGAGCACGAGCTACGCATCACGTAATGTCTCAGTACTCCTTGTCAGTTTTGTGCCATTTTGTCGCACTCGCTGACTGTATATGATCTGGTTACATTGGTGGGCAGTTAGTCATAACTCGTAACATTTTATCCTCCTTTTTCACCATGATTATTTATTTAAACAATCGACGAGGAGACAATAGTCGTAAAATGGCAATAAATAAGATAAATTGTGCACTCGTAACAACAGCAAAAATGAAGAAAGTCAAGTTCCATAACGTTTTCTTGTGACTGTCATCAGTGGAACGCCGTCACATAAAAATGTAATAACTAAAACACACACTTATATACATGTAGCTAATATGGTTTCAGGTAGAAATACAGCAGCTAACAAGTACAAAAAGCGAAGTTTGCACCTTTGCAATGTGTGAATATAGTGTATGTGAGAAAGGTAGTGGCAGATGAATGTGATACTGTGTGAATGAATGTAATGGTGCGTGTGTATTACTTGAAGAGTGTGAGTGATACAACGTTTTCTTTCTGTTTACATAGCACAGGGTCACGAGTACAAATATACACAGCTTCCAACACCTGCAATTGCTTGAAGAAACTTGCAACACCTGCAATTGCTTGAAGATTCCTGGTTTAGTGTTATTCGTTGCGCACGTTTCTTCAAGCAATTGCAGGTGTTGGAAGCTGTGTATATTCGTACTCGTGACCCTGTGCTATGTAAACAGAAAGAAAACGTTGTATCACTCACACTCTTCAAGTAATACACACGCACCATTACATTCATTCACACAGTATCACATTCATCTGCCACTACCTTTCTCACATACACTATATTCACACATTGCAAAGGTGCAAACTTCGCTTTTTGTACTTGTTAGCTGCTGTATTTCTACCTGAAACCATATTAGCTACATGTATATAAGTGTGTGTTTTAGTTATTACATTTTTATGTGACGGCGTTCCACTGATGACAGTCACAAGAAAACGTTATGGAACTTGACTTTCTTCATTTTTGCTGTTGTTATGAGTGCACAATTTATCTTATTTATTGCCATTTTACGATTATTTATTTATTATTTATTTACTGTCTGCACTTCATGGCACATAATGAAAATAGCCAATACAAGGAAGTGAGGGTGAAACCAACCACGGACTGGGGGCAAAAATGCAAATTAAACAGAAGAAGAAAATAAATAAAATACAATAAAACAAAGTTTAACTCGGATGGTGAGCCAATTAAATTATGGTGAAAAAGGAGGACAAAATGTACGAGTTATGACTAACTGTCCACCAACGTAACCAGATCTTATACAGTCAGCGAGTGCGACCTGATGAGCCGTCATGACCTATACGGCGAACGTACGTCGTGTGGAACTACTTGTTATTGTACATAACTAGTCCATCATACATGATAGTGGAGTTCAGTAGGATGTTGGCGTTTCGGTTTGTCACAATTCGTCTTCGCTTAGCTTCCCTTTCTTTTTTTATTACATAAACTTGAGCCTCCTAAGTTGGGTGGTCTGTTGCTTTGCGTCGTCGAGTTGTAGTAAGGCCGGTCTGTCCAATCGTCTTACTAGTTTCGTCATCATCCAGTAACTTTTGGCATTCTTTGTTGCCGTGATGCGTAGCTCGTGCTCTTCTTTGTGCCATCCTGTCGCACCCGCTGACTGTATAAGATCTGGTTACGTTGGTGGACAGTTAGTCATAACTCGTAACATTTTATCCTCCTTTTTCACCATAAAATAAAAACAAATAAAATAAAAGAGGAGCGTTACTTACGAAGAGCCTTATTGAAAGCGGAAAGTGTCTCAGCATGTCGAATACTATAGGAAAGGGAGAGCTAAAATCGATATGCCATAAACACAGGTGAGTTTAGAAACAAAGATAAACGAGGAGCAGGCAATGATACTTTATTTCGAGTAGGTCTATCACGCTGGAACCAGTCATACTTTCCCAAGTGTTGGGGAATTCGTTTAAGATATATTCTAGTGAGCAAGGGTATATAAGTGGGCTTGGCGGCGCTCACAGAGCGGAGATGAGGCGGTCCGAGAATATAATTGGGCACTGCTGAATAACTGAGGCAGTCCAAATAACCGTTTGATAATCTTTTCATGATGCATTAAATTTTTTGTGGACAAAGTTGAATTTAGACCACACCATGCTGTGTCGGCGTAGTGGAACAGAGGCAAAATATAGCAACGGTAGAAAAGTATTTTACAACTATGAGGGATGTGGTAACAGTGGGAAGCGAGGGCTCCAAGGGCGGAGCTAGCGTGACGACAAACATCATTAACTTGCTCTGACCAGGAAAACGCAGAGTCAATACGTACGCCCAGGTGTTTGTAGCTTCTTACCAGTCCGATGCTGTTGGACGATCCTGGGGAGCACAGGGTGACTGGGTCTGGAGAAGCGCATCCCCATAATCATTGCCTCCGTCTTGCTGTGGTTTGGCGACAGGTGCCAGCGACACATCCAAGTCACTACCTCGTCAATGTCCGGTTGGATGGAGGCTTGGAGTTGTGGGAGAGACTCGCAGAATTAGATCAGCGCAGTGTCATCAGCATACAATGAAGTACACTGTATCGGGAACAACACTCGGCAAATCATAAAAAGTAGAAATAAAAGAGGACCCAGTATTATCACATGAAAACGACGTTCAAATTATAACATATTTTCAACTTATTGTTCTCGTGGTATGAGTGCGCTTATTTTACTTTCGTTGATATTAGGTTTCTTGTCTCCACGCCGACTTTTTAAATATGCATTGCAAAATGTGATAAAACTTACAAGCAATTGTTTTGCTAAGTTCTTTCTTCTTTTTCCACAGTTTGTTTCTCTCACTTCACAGTTGTCACATTCTGGTTTTCTCACTTTCTTTTGTGCCGCCTACTTACCATTGTTGTTGCTTGCTTGTAAGTTTTATCACATTTTGGAATGCATATTAAATCATTGTTTTTGCTTGGGTAGCCTTCAATTCAGTTACGATATTCCACTGTTGATAGTGACATGAAAATCGATCATGGAAAACATTTGACTTCGGTGATGCATGATGATGACGGCAGAGTTAGTTCTTTTTATTGCTTTATTAAAATTACTCTTGTACTTTTCTATATCAGTTCCTCCATTTCCATTATCCCCTCTCTCTCTCAGTCTCTGTCTCTCTCAGTCTCTGTCTCTCGCTGTCTTACTCACTCACTCACCCACTTTTTCTGTCTCTCTCTGTCTCTCTCTCTCTCTCTCTCTCTCCCCCTCTCTCTCACTCACTATCTCTCACTCACTCACGCTCTCTCTCTCTCTCTCCCTCTCCCCTATCTATATCGTTCTATCATTCCGCCTCTCTTACACGTCTTCCTGTATCATTTGCCGTGAACACCTTGAGTGGAGAGCATTGTCTCGGCTCTTAATCCAATACTACTAGTGTACAAGGCTGGTCAGGGATGTGAACACGTTTTCTTATTTATTTTTTGTTCATAGATCTTCTAACCACTACAGTTTCAGTCATCAGTATTCAAAAGAGATCGATTGAAGTCACAGTGTCCACCACAATAAAGCTCAATGGTTCAGATTATTGTGTTGAGTACCGGCGCACACACGTATCAGGTGTGATCTCAACGACCAACCTTGTTACAACATGCTCAGCGTCTGTGAGTGGCAATATGTCATTAGTTGGTCTAGAGGAGGATGCTACATACTCCATCCAGGCGTATGTAATGAACTCATCGCAGGTACTGCAGTACTGCAAGTCTCCTATTTACAATCTAACAACATTGGTAGCAAGTAAGTTAACCACTTGAATATATACGTATGCTGCTGCATCCACTAGCACTCTGCAACACTACCTTGATGCTCCCAAGTGCACCCTGGCACATTCAATTTTTCTTGACCAGCACCCTGCTCATTTACAGTCCCTTAATTGGTTCAATTCAGGTGGCACCACCCGAAGCTGCGTTCGCCTCCCCCTAGCTAGGTCTACCCTATTCGTAAATTCCCCTTTCTTTTCCTCCTACTCCACGTGGCTCCACCTGCCTCCTAGTGTTAGGCAAGCTCCAGATATGCCCAAATTCCGTACCCTTGTCAGACAGCACTTCAGTATCTCCCAGTAAACAAAGTCACAGTCCCCATTTCCGCTGCATAGCTCGCTGAGCATCCCATTGCTTTGTATGTTGCTAATCCCTTCCCACTTTGTGTACGTGCTCTTCATTTTCTTTTTTCTCTTTTTCCGTGGTTGGTCTCACCCTCTCCTCAATTCAATTGGCTGTCTTGACATGCCACGAGGTGCAGAAATAAATAAATAAATAAATATTGTAGATGTACGTGTAGGAGACAATGTGGTGTTTTATTATTATTATTATTATGTGCTTGTTCGCGTAGACATCAGCATGGCTTGCAGCTGCATTAATGGGCATGCAAATCATGCAAACCAGCCAAAAATGTTCGCATAAGCCACTTCGAATAGATACAAAAGACCACAACAGTTTCAGAAAAAGAAGAAATATGCGAAAAGAAGACAAAAACTATGGTGCCGACACCACTCGGGCACAGATGCCCACCCAACCGCTTCGGTCAGCAGCAAGGGCACGGAACGCCTCCAGATCGACTTTGCTTGACAAGGAAAGTCCAATCCGCTTGGCATCATCTTGTAGTAGCGTTGGTAGTGTGCGTCTTGGTCGTCCCCTCCAGCCCGCTGGACGAGGCTCTGCGAAGTACGATCCCATGGCCAGTGACGGTGGGGAGTCAGCCGGGAGCCGGAGGACGTGCCCAAAGAGCCTCCACCTAGCTCTCAAGATGATAATGCCGAGAGGAACCGCGCCGGTACGCTCATAGAGCCTCTCGTTCCTAATCCGATTCGGGAACACAATGCCGATTAGCGCCCGCAGCTGTTTTCGGTGGAAGGCCTCAATACGGCTCAGCTGCTGTTTCGTTGGTGCCCATGTTGCACAATTGTAGCAGAGTACAGGGAGTACAAAGGCATTATAGAGCCGGATGCGGAGATCCTCCGAAACTAGCGACCTACGGATCCACAGCGTCCAGAGTTTACCAAAGGCAACAGTTGCCAGTTGCTGTCGCCGTAGCATATCCTCGGCATCACCTAATAGGGACCCGAGTTTCTTGGTGGTTCGCCACTCCTCCTCGATGCGATCAGTGTGCCGTTCGATGTGCGTGTGCTCTGTTTTGGTCTCATTCACTTTCAAATCCCATTCGAGGAGCTTGTTGGATATGGTTGAAAGGAGGGTCCTCAGCCTCTCACCATCAGTAGTCACGAAATCCACATCGTCGGCGTAGGCAGTTTCAGTTGGTAACCCCAGGGAGATATCGGCAGGGGGACGTGGTAGAAGAAGAGGCCGGACATCACGCAGCGCACCCTCAAGGTACACAATGAAAAGAACAGGAGACAACGAGTCACCTTGGGGTGTGCCGCGGAGAGTGGGGAATGACGGGCCCTTAGCGGATGGGAGTACAACCCGCAGTACGGTGTCCTGGAGGAGGTAACTGATCATTCGGATTTCATCCGGCTGCAAGAACGATCCCAGCACCGAGATAAGCCGTGGCCTGCTTATACAGTCAAACGCTTTTGACATATCAATGCCTAGGATATCCAGCGCACAGCGATAGCGTTGGCATCGAGCTGCCAACCATCGGTATGACCACACAACATCTGTGGTGCTTCTGCTGGGGCGGAAACCACTCTGTGTGTGTGCAACGAAGTTGTTGACGTCCTTGTTGATCCTCCGCAGCACAATCAATGATAGAATATTCCTGAGCGCTGTGAGTAAAACCACGGGCCGTAGGTGAGCGACTGGTCCCCTTGATTTGCCAGGCTTTTGTAACGGAATAAGCGACCCACTACCGATGCTGTTCAGGGGCAGGCCTGTCTCGACGGCAGAGTTGAGGACCTGGGCGATATTGGAGTAGACGAGGGCAGGTGAGTACTTTAGCAGCTCCCCTGGCATGTTATCTGGGCCACTTGACCTGCCATTATTCAATTTTCCAGCTGCCTGTGTCACCTCTGCCTCAGAAATGGGCCGCTCAAGCCGGCGGTACTGAATAGCGCAATCCTGGTCGGCAAGGCCCGGTCACCGCAGCAACAGTGCACCAGGCTCCGGTGTGTACAGCTTAGAAAAGTGGTCGGTGATTTGGATGGCTACTGAGACTGGCTGTATTACTTGTCTACCCGCTTCATCATGCACAGTGATAAGCTGTTGTTTTTGTCGCTGGAGTAGATGGACTGCATGAAACATCTGTGCTGTATCCTTCTTTGCTTCTACTTCCCTCGCCCGAGCGTCCAGCTCATTCGATGCTAGTTCCTTTCCTTGCAGCCGGATTCGGTGTGAGAGGGTGTTCCGCCGATGCTTCAGATCAGCCACTTGTTGTGGATCCCTACTTGTAGTTATCAGCAGTCGTAACCGTTTTTTCTCTTCCGACCAGGAAGATTCCTCTGTATTAACTGGAGTTTCACTCACTTGGCGATCTTACTGGTCCCGATTGTGCAACCATGGAAACCGGACTCCCTTGCAGCCAGTTCTTGGAACTTTCTTGCTGCAGTAGCCAGTGGAGTAGAATGGTGACAGTGGAGTACAATGGTGTCAGTGGAATAGAGCGGTGATAGTGAAGTACAGTGGCGACAGGGGAGTACAGTGATGACAGGAGAGTACAATGGTGTCAGTGGAGTAGAGAGGTGACAGGGGAGTAGAGTGGTGTTAGGTACCTCCTCCCGTACCTTTTCTGGCTGGCCTGCATGCATGTAGTTGTAGTTGTAGTTGTACACATCGTATTCGTAGTATTCATACTCACCTTTTGTTCCGTTGGCCTGGGTAGCTACTTGCGCGTCCACCTTTGCCATAGCTACCCATGCCCTTTATCTTGCATGCTCTCCTGTCGACTCGCTCTCTCTCCCATAATGTAGTCGTAGTAGTTCGTCTTTGTCTCCGTCTCTTCGTCTACCCCAATAAATGTCGTTCTACGTACCTGTCCCATTGTCTGTTGTGTCTGGAGAATTAAGTGAAAGCTATACTTAACAGTGGTGACAGTGGCGTAGAGTGGTGACAATACAGCAGAGTGGTTATAATATACGTCAACAGTGGAGTAGAGTGGTGATAGAGGAGTAGAGTGGTGACAGAGGAGTAGTGTTTGGTGTGTACCTGGTAACACAGCTGAAGTAAGTAAGGATATTTGCATCTCACCCATTTGCATGCTATTTCTGACTTTCTGTACACTGACAGATTATGCACAACTAGAGTACGTGTGCACTGTACCACGTATCATTGCGCCTTACCCACTTTCCGTAGTTTAATCATTTCTCTTTAAAAAATCATAGTATACGCAGTCAACGCTAATATGTGGAGCAAACCAAGAGATGAGGGCGATACCCATCCATGGCAAACTTACAAGTGTTTAATACTGCATTTTATTGATTATTTTTTTCAGCTCCCTCTAGGGCTCCAAATATAACTCATCTTTATCCAAGTGCACAAGAAATCAACATCTCCTGGACTGCTATCAGCCTCCTGGACTTTAATGACCGATCACAAGGATATATGGTTTCTTATCGTGCGGACCATAGCATCAACGTCAGTACTGTACATAGTGAGCTTACGAGTATCACTATCAATGGTTTGACTGCTGGTACAGTGTACACTCTGTCCATTGCTGCGACATCTTCTGCTGGTGTTGGCCCTTCAACGTCAATAACAACTTCAACTGTGCAGGAGAGACCTATCACTATGACGACAATGGAGGAATGCATGAGTATGGTTGTCACTACTGTAAGCTCACAACAAGGTATGGTTTTACTTCCTTTGATTTTGACTTGTTTGTGTTCACGTGTCATGCTTATGACAGCGTGTGCGCACGTGTTTGTAGGTAGAATGTGTCTGAAGTGGTACAATAGTGTGCGAAGGTGATTTCCAAAAGCTGTGGATTCAATTCCCGGTAATTGGGATCCGAATTGTCTTATTCTCCTTCTTATTCTGTTCCTGCCTTCTTTCAGTCTCCTTGGAGTTTACCAGCATACCATGTATGCCTGTGTGCTTGATCCGATGTGGATGTGTATTTATGAAAGAAGGAAAAGTGGAGATAAAAGAAGAAGACACAAAGACAGACAATTATGGGTCCGCTGTCCAGAACCACGACTTGTGATATATTTCAAGAGTTGCGGTTAATAATATTAGTCAGAGGTGATTTGGAACCATTCAGAAGCAAGTGGAAGTAATCAAGTGCTACATTTCCGCAACAAAGTACTTCGGACTTTCGTACGCACACCTGGTGTTCCTTGAAACGTACACGGCGAAAGTGTTGGACAAGGAGTTCTGGCCCGAGGATTTCACGATGCGGAAGTGGTATTGGGAGACTGATCGAGTCGCCCACGGTTCCAATCAGTAAACATGTCTCCTCTAAACCCACTCGCACCACACCGTTCACCCCCAGATCACATCCTCCATCACCAATATCTCTACTCAGTAATTATACTAATCATAACATCAATATCGGTCATTTAAATGTGCGTAGCCTCAGACATAAAATCCCTGAAATTCAATCCCTCATCTCCGACCATTCCCTGGATGTTCTCGTTATTACTGAAACAAAACTCGATCTGAAGGCAGCGTACACGCACATGGAGGTGGACGACGAGTCAAAGCCCCTGCTTACGCTCAATACCCATCTGGGTCTGTTTCGACTCAACCGTCTCCCATACGGGATCGCGTCTGCTCCAGCGCTATGGCAACGAGCCATGGATTCTCTGCTACGAGACCTGCCAGGCGTTAAGTGCATGATCAATGACATCATCGTCACTGGCCGCACACCGGAGGACCACCTCAACACGCTGATGAAGGTGCTCCAACGTCTCGCTTATGCGGGCCTCAAACTCAACCTGGCCAAATGCCACTTCTTTCAGCCGAAAGTGGAATATTGCGGCCACGCCATCAGCGCACAAGTCCTGCACACGATGCCGAGCAAGGTTGATGCAATTTGTGATGCTCCACCGCCGGAGAACGTGCCGCAAGTACGCAGTTTTCTGGGGCTCATCACCTACTATCACGGACCACCAGCCGTTGGTATCAATCTTCCACCCGAGGAAAGGCCTGTCTGCTATGACCGTAGCACGTCTTCAATGCTATGCGATGTTCCTGGCCGGACATGACTACACGATCATGTTTTTTTTTTTTTTTTTTTTTTTGACTATTGAACACTCACTGCATGATGAACTAAAGTGAGGAGAAGAACTCGACACAATGGTACATATCCAGCAGGACGGAGTGGGTGGGACCTGTGAAGCTCAGCCGACCAAGGGTCTCGGCATCACAGCTGCACATGTGCACCAAAGGAAACAAAATGGGGAGTGGAAGGGCGGGGAGGGGAGCAGGAGAGCAAGAACTCTAAGGGTAGGAAAGAGAGGAGGGGGGGGGGGGGGTAGGAAACCAGGAAACTTGTTATTCCAAGATATGAGTGCAAACAAGTACACAAATAAGTACAAATATAGCAGTATCAAGATCATGATGCTGAGGCGAAAGTAGAGGCTGATTGCCGTGCAGATTTGACGAAAGATTAGAGTTAGAATGGAGGAGAGTTAGAGAGAGATAAAGACAGATGGATTGGGAGTTTGATGAGAAGGGAGTGCTCCGAGAACATGAACAGGGTCGTACTGGCCAAAGCCTAGGGGGCGATGTCCGTGGCCAATGACCAACCCGACCGTTTCAGGTAGCGGTAGGTCTGAACCTTGAACTGCTGCATCCCTTTGGCAGACGGTGCATCGCGGAGGAGAGTGGCTGGCAGTTCATTCCAGGCTTTGATGAGGCACTCCGGGAAAGAGCGCAGCGCAACATTGCACGATCTGGCAGGTAGGGCTGTCTGGAGTTGAAGCTCGTGCGCAAGGTTGGCTGCCGAGCGGCGGCGTGTGGCAGGCGCGATGGCGGGTGCGATGGCTCTGGCTGGGCGTGTCGCTGCAAGAGCTGGCGGGCTTGCGATGTAATGGAGCTTGTACAGAGTTGTGAGGCCGGCCACACGGCGCCGCAGGGACAGAGTGTCCATTGCAGCCCCTGTCCCAATCAGGGTGAGGGCACGATGCTGGACTCGGTCCAGCTGTGAGAGATGGGTAGCCGCAGCTCCCATCCATACAAGTGGACAGTACTCCATTAGAGGCCGAATGAACCCCCGGTATGCTGTGGCCCGGCCCGGTGGGTCCAGGACATGGCACGCCTTCCGGAAGAAACCAATTCGCTGTGTGGCACGCACTGCAGTTCCTCGAAGATGCTTCGAGTATGTTAGATGGGCATCAAACGTCACTCCAAGGAGCTTCAGCCGCGAGCATTCTGGGACCGCTGTGCCGTTGAACTTGATGGATGGTGTCTCCCAGGGTCTGCGGTGGCGGGACACAGTCATGGCCTGTGATTTCATTGGCTCAAAAGTGACGCGCCACTGGGCACCCCATTCAGCAAGTGCATCCACACCAGCTTGGAGGTTGCAGCACACTTCTGTCACAGCATGTGGCGTTGGGATGTGGGCATAAAGCGTGGTGTCATCTGCGTAAACAGCCGGAGTGATCCCTTCCGGTAGGACGTCGCAGGCGTCATTCACGTACAGCAAAAACGGTGTGGGCCCAAGGATGCTCCCTTGTGGGACCCCAGCATCAATGTTGTATGGTTCTGAAGATGCTCCGCCGACTACCGCCTGCAACTTCCTGTCATAAAGGTAGTCAGACAGCCAGTTGAGGAGGGGACCAGTGATGCCATATGACGCAGCCTTGTGGAGCACGCCTCGGTGTGAAACTTTGTCGAATGCTCCTGCTATGTCGACAGCCAGCACGCGGACTGCGCCACCACGGTTGACTTCGGAGACCCAGGAGACCCGGACATGACTACACGATCATGTACCGCCAAGCAGACAAGCATTGCAACGCCGACGGATTGTCACGCCTGCCAGTAGGAAATCCTCCGGCACCAGATACGGCAGAGGAAGCGGTCAACATGTTCTACATGGACCAATGCGAACCACTCCCAGTGACAGTGGAGCAGATCAAGGAGGCAACAGCCAGCGACCCGCTATTGCGAGAGGTCCATCGCTATGTGCTCCAAGGTTGGCCGAAGTCGGGCCCAAGAGCAGAGCTTCAGCAGTACTTCTAACGCCGCAACGAGCTCAGCGTTAGCAACGAGTGCTTGCTATGGGGCAATCGCGTCATCATTCCGCCGGACCACCGGAAAGCTGTCCTGACAGAGCTTCATGAAGGCCATCCAGGAATGGTACGAATGAAGGCGTTGGCGAGAAGCATCCTCTGGTGGCCGGGCTTGGACGGCGACATAGCAGACGCAGTCAAAGCATGCCTCGGATGCCAAAGTGTCCAGAGCGAACCTGCTGCAGCACCAGTGCACCGATGGAGCATGCCAGACCGCGCATGGCAGCGCGTCCACGTAGATTACCTTGGTCCATTGCGGCAAACGATGTGGCTCGTCATTGTCGATGCCCGTTCAAAATGGCCCGAAGTCATTCCGATGCCTTCCACAACGTCTTTGGCTACCATCACAAGTCCCAGGACAGTATTCGCCTGATATGGTTGCCCAGACCTCATCGTCAGCGACAATGGTCCACAATTTGCATCTGCAGAGTTTGCCGAGTTCCTCGCCTCGAACGGCATCGCTCACAGACGCTCAGCGTCGTATCATCCAGCGACGACCGGCCAAGCTGAAAGGTTCGTCCAGACCTTTAAACGGGCAATCCAGGCAGTACCACTGTCAACGCCTGCACAGATTGCTGCTGACCGGTTCTTGATGAGCTACCGCCGAGGAGTCCATCCGGCTACAAACGCAACGCCTGCGAAGCTGTTCCTAGGCCGTCAGCTACGATCACGTCTGGATTTGTTGCGACCGTCGACGGCACAACAGAATGCCAAGACGCCCACCGAAGAGCCTGCTGGCAAGGCAAGATCCTTCGAGGTTGGAGGCGCCGTTCTAGCACCCGATTACCGGAACGCCAACCATCCCGGATGAATCCCAGCGACCATAGTCGAGAAGCTTGGGTCTCGTACGTACATGATTGTCACCAGCCAAGGCGCACAGTAGAAGCGACACCTGGATCAGCTACGTGCGGGACACCCGTCCTTATTAGTGGATGAGCCGACACGATCTGTGGCTGCACCGTGTCTCCCTCCAGCGCAGCACCCGATCGCAGCAGAAGCACCCGAGCCTGAGCCGGCTGCAGTGCCACAACAGCACGAGGCTGACGCTACCGACGCCTCACCGACTCCGACTCTACGCCGATCGCTGTGGACACGCAAGCAAGTGTCTCGCTTGGGCCTGTAGAAAGTAGAAACAACCCCGGTCATGTTGACCATGTCGGAACTACACCTCACTGTATGCTCGTGTTTCTCTGTCTCAATCTTCATCTTGACCTTTACGATCTTTACTCTAGTCCCAGAAGTATGTTCCATTTTAGAAGGGAGGACTATGGTGTTTGTAACCACAGACATTGTGAATCACCTGATGGCCAGACTATTGTTGGTAATGCTAGACCTTTTGGAAGTGTCCAATGACCGCACTTGGCATTCATCCATTCATGCATGCTAGCTATCTCGTGTGTTTGGACTACCTCCATTATCTTCATTTTATATTGCTTGTACTCTGTAATATTCAACCAGTTGCGTACTGGATAAGTGAACTACGGTTGTGCTTTGTTTTTGGGTGTTGTGAGTCACGGACTAAAACACTACACATTGGATGCCTGAACTGGTCGGCTATGCGATGAACTGTGAATGTATTGTTTTATTTTTCTAATAGCATCAAATGGAAAACTGCTGTACACCATGATTAATGAAACTGTCTTTGTGTTCGGCAATGTGAACTTCAATATTTGCATATAAACTAACACTATCGGCACCCAGACAAGTTGAACTTGTTCGATTGTGGATGACCTTTGGGTGTAAATCCACTTCAATGCTGGGGTTCCATTCCCTTTCCCAGGAGTCAAACTCAGCCAAATTGGGAGTTTAGTGTATCTCTCTTGTTGCCGCAATTGCCTTTCACAGGCACAACAAAGTCTGAGTGATGGTCCAATGGATTTCACTATGGAGAGGATCTTGGTTTAAAAGAAGACACTGGTTCAGAGAATGTGATTGATGAGGTACAATAGTGTAATCACTACTGACATACGATTTGAATACCTCAAAAACTAGAAAACTAGATTATGCCATACTCCATACACAAGATATCCAGCGACGTCATGCGTATACAATGTAACAGTACAAGTTGCAGGATGACGGCATTGTCAGGGGTAGACTTGAGCAACGTACATACCATACGGCAGACTGTGAAATGAAGAACATGCATGACCAGTGAATGCTGGACAATACCTCAGTATCAGTATTCCTGAAAGGTAGGACCACTCCTCAAGCTTTCGACTTCTTCTGGTGAGCTGCCTTGCGGCATTCAGGGCAATGCCAGCTCTAACCGGGCTTCTTCTTGAGACCTAGGCACTTCACATGGAAGAAGCGGCGAGTGCAATCAGTACTAGCACACTTCGCTACATCACCGGCCTCTTTCCCGTCCCAGTAACAACCACCCGGCGATGACAATGTAGTCTTCGGCAGACCCACTGTGGCTGAAGCGCCCGCTGCTGCTGGTGGTTCGTCAGGTAAGCTATCAAAGTTCTTTGAATACCATTTAGCGGCTAGTTCCGGTAGTACTCCGAGTTTGTAGAAATCTACAACGGCCTCCAAGGCTTCAGCCATAAACGGCGCATCAGGAAGTATGCGCTCCAGGTGCAGCTCTTCCTTGTTCCAGACTATGAAGTCACAGTGTCTGGCAGCGCAGACCTTCAGCTGGAGCTGGACCTGATAGTAGTAAGCATGGTCGTGCTTTAGGCGAAGCTGTGGCAGCAACCCGGAGGAAGACGGGAAGACGGGTCCTACTCCAAGCAGAATTTGCTCTCGTCAGCAGCATCAGCGAATGCCTTGTCCCGGCATGAATAGGGACACTTGATCTCAAGCACACCGGCCCCACAGCATGCACAACTGACAAAGCCATCTGGGCTTTCCCCAAGATACGGGAAGTCAGGAGACAGGTAAAGACCGCACTCAGTCACAGACAGCTCCTTGTGAGCAGCCCCCTGCTTCCTCGCATGCAGCTCAAGCGCACTGGCCTCATGCTCACAGCCCCATTTAGTGGCTGAAGTTGTGAACGCTTGCGCCTCCGGATAACAAATGGCTTTGATGAGCGACACGGATGGATTGCTGGGATAGGTGCGCGTAGCAGCTTTGAAGCGGGATGCTGTTACCCTGCCAGCACGGTAGCGAAACCACTGCTTGGAGGTAGCCTGGTCCTTTGTGAGCCTCTCCACAGCCTTTGCCTCCTCCGCAGTAACAGTTATTGCGCTGAACACTTTTTCACAGTGCTGCAGCACATCGGCAAAGTTGGCCGTCAACAGTGCGTCATTGTAGAGCTCGTCTACCTGGTATGGTGGGCAGCCGTCCTGATCCTTTGGAGCGTACCGGTCAGAGAAGGCAGGCATAGTGCTCAGCACTGCACAAGAGCCGGCGGAATCCAGAGAGGCACATAGGGCATCAACTTCCTCATGTGGGATTGTCAAACGGAGCAGGCTTGCTCTTGGCGGAACTGCTGGTAGCTCTTGGTTGTTTATTATTATTATTATTATTGTAGAAAGGAAAAGGACATAAGGATACAAGTTACGAGGATACGAGTTTCAAATTATTACACAAAGGCACACAATGAAAACCTTGGCAAATTAATTCCGTTGTGACTCAGAGTTTCATGGATGAACCAATCATCAGACAACGATAATGGAATAGGAGGCAGCGCTGGTATATCTAAGTGGAGAGAGGTGTGATAATACGATAGCGAGAGGAGTAATCACGTGAATGTATACAGGGACAGGCTATTTCAGAGGCAGATGCAGTAGGCGCAGGTCTAGCACTAACAAGCACGCGCTTAATTTCGCTCACACACCACACCCACCCACACACACACACACACACACACACACACACACACACACACACACACACACACACTAACTCGCACACACATAGTAACACCCACACACATACACACACACACACACACACACACACATACTAACACGCACACACATAGTAGCACCCACACACATACACACACATACACACATACACACACATACACCCACACACAACACCCTAACTTGCACACGGGCGCACGCACACACAGACACCCACCCACCCACCCACAACACCCTAACTCGCACACGCACAAACACACGCACACACACATATACACACACCTATAGATATATGCACACACGCACATACACACACACAACCTGGGTGTTGGTCTCTGTATGTCTCGCCATGTGTTTTAGATGATGTGACAGACAATTGTAACAATGGTCTGAATCCGGTACAATGTATTTGTTGTTCTTTTGTGTGTATGTGTGTGTGTGTGTGTGTGTGTGTATGTGTGTGTGTGTGTGTGTATGTGTGCGTGTGTGTGTGTATGTGTGTATGTGTCTGTGTGTGTGCGTGTATGTGTATGTGTGTGTGTATGTGTGCATGTGTGTGTGTGTATGTGTGTATGTGTGGGTGTGTGTATGTGTACGTGTGTACGTGTGTGTTTGTCAGTTCCCAGCACTGCAGGACCGACCTTGCAACCTAGTACAGTTTTGACAGATACAAGCATTGCGGCGATCATAGCGTGTGCAGCGTCAATCATCCTTGTTCTCTTGGCTATTCTCATTGTCCTCGTTCGAAGAAGGACTGGTGTTCCAGCAGTTGCAGGTAACGCAAGCAGCAGCCGGACTTCCTGCAGTCAGCAGACCCATGTAGAGATCTCTGCTGATAACAATATGTATGACGAACACCAAATGGTATCTACAGACACAATCCTTACTGAAAACGCGGCCTATGGCGAACACGTGCACCCTGACCCAATGTACGATGATGTTCATTAGGGTGTTAACTAGAAAGCAAGTTCACCCTCTCCTGGCCAATTTGTCCATTCCTAGTTCCTACTGCATTCCATTGTATTACATCAGCCATGCAACACACCCATAACTCTAGCACAGATACATTATAATACGTGTGTTGAAGTTTCGCAATCTATTCCTTCGTATGCAAAGACGCAAATCCACACAATTAAGTGGACGCTTCCTTTCATCTATCAAACGTTTTTTTCCCTTCTCTTCATGATAATACTTGTGCTGTATGTAGTTCTTCTTTCGTTTAGCCACCGGTTCTTTTACTATTACATGTTGTATGTTGGCTGTTCTATTACATGTTGTATGTTGGCTGATGATTGTTGCAATTCGTATTCTGATTCGTGTTTCACTCTATTGTGCCGGCAGTGATCGTCATGGATATGGTTTACAGTTAAAAGTGTTTGAAGCCATTTATCAGCGTCTGTCTAACCCAATTTGTGCATACAGAAGGGTAGTATTATTATTGAAATTGTTCAAGTAACATGTTATGTTTAGTGTGGCCAAGCGCGGCAGTTAGTGTTCTAGGTGAAATGTTTTGCTGTTTGTATTAGCACTTTCTCCTATTGGATTTGCAAGTTAATTGTTAACACACGCATTGGTGTTTGCTCTTGCCTTTTCTGTTAGATCAGTCCCACTTGTATTATTTCAATGCAGTAGTTTTAGGTGTCATATCTCTTACTTACCTCAAACCACACTGTTGGGTGTTCTGCACAGTGACGTGTTGCACAGGAATGCGGCAGGCCTTTCCACTCAGCACCAGCTGGATGAGCTCTCAATGATGGCCCAGGATGGAGCAGCTTGGAGAGGCTTCACTCTCATAGTGTGCGTGCGGGCGATCTCTAGCTGAGGAACAGCAGGGAACCATGTGTTGCACAGTAATAATTAGTGTTTAAACCGAACACGGATTCTTCGAACGAATAATCTATCGAATAATTTCGCCCTCCATCGAACGAATAATCTATATTCTATCATACACATGATGGCATTTTTCAACACTTTTTCAGCACTTTTAAGTAGTTTTTTTTTAATTTGCTGATTATCGGATTTTGTTATGTGGAGGTGCAAAACCGGTTAACCTGTACCGCCAAGAGTACATAACCCCCCAGAGTGTGCAACGCCTGATACAGCTCTGCATAGAGTCTTGGTCGAAAGTGGTCAAAGACCGAAAATCACATTCACTGCATCCATGTTTCCCTGGTGTGGAAAGAACAGAAGTATTACTAGATGCCGATAGGAGATTAAAACTTGGAGGAGAAGAGTTTGAGAAGAAATACTATGAGCAGATCTACGCAGTACAAATATCAGTAGGGTCAGCACTGAGCATAGATTTTTTTTCGATTTCTCATAATTGACTACCTGGAGACTAAGACCTAATATCGCCAAGACTGAGATATTATTCCTGCCGAACTCAGAGCCAACCTATGCATTCACTCTTCCCGGATCCCTCACAGACCTCACAGTGGTAAAACAACACAAACATCTTGGTTTGGTCATTGACTCAGACTTATCGTTTAGTAGACATGTCGACTATATCTGTAGCAAAGTCAGTAAAGCTGTTGGCTACCTCGTGTCTCACTGCTCCCACCTACCGCTTGAATGCATTCGCCTTTTTTATCATTGCTATATTCTCCCCATTTTTCTCTATTGCTCAACCGCCTGGTCATCCCTACTTAGTAAATCGTTAATGAGTACCCTGGAAGTCCACAATAAGAGGATACTCAAAGTCCTTTTCCGCAAACCATCATACTTTCCTTCTGCCGAGCTGTATGATATGTTTAACACCTTCCCTATCTCTAGTCAAGCGGATCGAAAACTGTGTATTGTTGTTCATTCTATTCGTCTTGACAAAGCCCCGCCACACTTGCGTAAATATAACTGGTTTCTTCCCACTCGTCCTACGCGCAATCCCTGCACTTTACCTAAAGCCCGAACCTCAGCTTATACCAGATCTCCGTTTTTTGCTGCCTATTCTCTCTGGCTGGCCCTGCCTCTATCAGTAAAATCGTCTTGTACGCTTCTAACAAGATTACATAACCAAAAGCGAGAAGGCACTGAACGAAGTTTCAACCTACGAATACAACTTCAGTGCAACAACGTGCTCTTTCTGCTTTTTTGCGAATTATACCAGATGCTGCTATTCAGCTGTTGTGCAGTATGGATTCACTGTTACTTGAAGTATTATTATAATAATATTATTATGTAAATAATCGACGTGGAGACAACAATTTTATAATAGCTATAAAGAGAACAAATTCTGCTGTCATCGCCACACTACAACAAAGTCATGAAGAACTTAGAAGTTGCGACTTCGGCGGTAATAGTCATGAAGTTTATTGTTCCAACTAGGAACACACGCTTCTTGCGAGTGTCAAGTGTCAAGTTCGGCAAGAAGCGTGTGTTCCTAGTTGGAACAATAAACTTTAAAGTCATGAAGGTTTACCAAAATCGATTTTCTTGTCACAATCATCAGTGGAAAGCCGTGACTGAAGAGTAACCATGCTGAATCAATGATTAATATACATTCAATAATGTGTTACGAGAACAAAACAAAGTGCTAAAAATAGAATGAGGGAAGGTGAAACAATAGAAGTGAAGTGAGAGCTAAGTGCAACAGGGGTGAGGAACTAATTACAACGCTAGAACTGTGTATTGAGACAAACAATCATGCTGTGCACCTACGAAAACAATCTTAACGCAACTACATGTTTCTTCTGCTTACAAAGATCAGGCTTATGCAAACGAATACAAACAGCCTCAAGTACTTTCAACTGACTAGCGTACCGTGCACGACAAAGAACAGAAAAACTAAAATCATCATACACCTGCAGACACTTAGGGTGAGACAACAGATGAAGAAAAACGGCAGACTTCTTACGATCACAATCACCATCCGATTCCTCGTCTCCACCAACCGCAACCTCGTCCTCCGTCTCATCTTCCAACTCGTCCTCAGTGTCGTCCCCCGTGTCATTCTCCTCATCCACACCGATCGGTCCCAGGCTCGCTTCATGTTGCTTAACCTCTGTTCGTTGACTCCTCCTTTGGTCTTGATGGTACAATTTGTTACCATTGTTGTTGTTGTTATTGTTGTTGTTCCTGTTGTTGTTAAATCTTCTGTTCCCAGTGTCTTCGCCGGTGCTTGACATCCAGTACTGTAATAATTCATTGAATATTGCGGAACAGTTGTGGCCAGCATTGTACGTTCGTTTTGTTGATGATTCCTTCACCTGGTTTGATTCTCTTGAAGATAGCCAAATCTTTCTTGGTATTCTAAATGACCTACATCCTTCCATACGTTTTACTTGTGAACACGAACAAGCGAACAAACTTCCCTTTCTAGACGTCCTTGTGGAAAAGTCTAGTCAGGGTACAGTAACATCTGTGTACAGAAAGCCTACATTCACCGGCCAGTACATAATGTTTGACTCGTATTGCTCGTACCAATACAAGGTGAATTTAGTGCGTAACTTGGTGGATCGAGCAAAGCGTATTTGCTCCTCTTCCAAACTAGCTGAGGAACTGGACTTCCTAAAGTCAGTTTTTCTCAAGAACGGGTATCCCGACGATCTCTTGAAGGAGCTCATGAGCGAAAGGCTGCATAGTAAGGAAATACGTTTTGGCCCGGACAAATGTCCCACGTATCTTTCTCTCCCTTGGAAAGGTAACCTCTCATTATCCATGAGTCGCGTGGTCCGGAAAATTGTACAACAAACGTACTACGCGGTAGATTTTGTACCCGTTTTCACAACTGTACGTGCGTTCACGGTGAGGAAGGATGTCTTACCAACCCAACTCGCATCTAAATTGGTATACCAATTTGAGTGCCGACAATGCGGCAGTCGGTACGTTGGTAGAACTCTTCAACATCTGAACGCACGTATCAAGCAGCACGTCCCAATGCACATGCTGACTGGCTCGGCACGGGCGCTGCGGCCCAAACGCGGCAGGCCACCTAAGAACCCTCGGTCACAGCCATCGTTAGCACAATTGCCGTCGTCGGCAATAGTGCCTCCGTTACCCGTATTGAGAACCGTGGAGATGGATAATGTGCACATCGTCACCACAACACAATGCACGATAACAACACAAGAGAGTACGCCACAAGAACATCTGGCTCAAGACCAAAGTGGACGCTGTGATGAGGTGATGCCCCCATCGCCGTCGTTGCCGTTGCCTCCCCCGGAACCGCCACCTGCACCTGTCATCGGCGGTGCTGGGGCTGGGTCTGTGGGGTCGGTGGCACAGGTGAATATGGAAGAGGTAAGCACTGAACATGAACAAGGAGAAAGAAAGCTGAAGGGAACGGAATTCAACAGAGAAAACAACACGATCAACATTCAAAGACCTAGACGATCAACGGCTAATTTTTCAATGAATTATTACAGTACTGGATGTCAAGCACCGGCGACAACACTGGGAACAGAAGATTTAACAACAACAGGAACAACAACAATAACAACAACAACAATGGTAACAAATTACCATCAAGACCAAAGGAGGAGTCAACGAACAGAGGTTAAGCAACATGAAGCGAGCCTGGGACCGATCGGTGTGGATGAGGAGAATGACACGGGGGACGACACTGAGGACGAGTTGGAAGATGAGACGGAGGACGAGGTTGCGGTTGGTGGAGACGAGGAATCGGATGGTGATTGTGATCGTAAGAAGTCTGCCGTTTTTCTTCATCTGTTGTCTCACCCTAAGTGTCTGCAGGTGTATGATGATTTTAGTTTTTCTGTTCTTTGTCGTGCACGGTACGCTAGTCAGTTGAAAGTACTTGAGGCTGTTTGTATTCGTTTGCATAAGCCTGATCTTTGTAAGCAGAAGAAACATGTAGTTGCGTTAAGATTGTTTTCGTAGGTGCACAGCATGATTGTTTGTCTCAATACACAGTTCTAGCGTTGTAATTAGTTCCTCACCCCTGTTGCACTTAGCTCTCGCTTCACTTCAATTGTTTCACCTTCCCTCATTCTATTTTTAGCACTTTGTTTTGTTCTCGTAACACATTATTGAATGTATATTAATCATTGATTCAGCATGGTTACTCTTCAGTCACGGCTTTCCACTGATGATTGTGACAAGAAAATCGATTTTGGTAAACCTTCATGACTTTGTTGTAGTGTGGCGATGACAGCAGAATTTGTTCTCTTTATAGCTATTATAATATTATTATCTTTATTTCAGGATTACCCAAAGGCTAACGCCTATCGGGGGGGGGGGGGGGGGGGGGGGGATCTCCTATTTTGTGTGTATATACAATGAACATTGGAGTTGGGAAAAAGAGAAAATGTGCAAAGTGAGTTGGGAAAAAGAGAAAATGTGCAAAGTGAGTTCGGAA